GTAAACCTTATCGCTCATATAATCGAAGATGTTCAACTTAATAACCAGGAAGAAGTACTTAGAGATTATTCAATTTTACCGCTTCATTATCGATACGTCAAATAGAAAATTTAATACTTCGATTTTTGAAATTCAAAGTAAAAATAAAGAAAATAAATATGACAATAATAATTGAGTTCTAGCAATAAATAAGTGATGTTTATCTACATGCAGTATTAAGCGCTTTAATCATTTTATAGCATCATTAAATTGTTCGAACACATTTTATATGGTAGAAAGCCTTTAAGTACCTGATGATAAAATGTCTTTGAAGTTGGAAAGAAAGCAAAACAAAATTGCAGTTGTATTACATGAGGCTGTAATAAAGTGATTATTTTACATTAATCGTACTAACTTATCGAGAATTGAGCTGTCAATAAAATAATATTTGTCAAAGAATATCATCCAGCAATATGAATGAAAACATCTATCGCTTGAACAGTGAGAAACTAATTAACTAAAAGTTCAAGCAATCAGGTAAACATTCCACTTATCAGAGAAGAAAATATAATTCTCTTTAGAGAAGTATTTTGCAAAGGAAAATGTGACGATGATCAAGCTATGATAGTTAGACTGCAGTGTATTGAAAGACGACGTATGCAACAGTTTTTACTTTAGTTTCACTTTTCGCAAAGGCATACGGTGTAATGATAACGCAACATACTAATGCGGGGACATCAGTTTCTCGTGATGCAACCGTTTCGTCGAAATCGTGTGCATGGAATTGTACTTTTTTGTCCTTGAGAGGACGATCCTCCGTTCTGCGCGCGGCGCATTCACCGATGGTGGTGTCTCACAATCAGTCACAAGGGAGCACAGGGAAGTTACCCCTGTACGAACCCTGCCGGCGATCGTTTCCTCCCCTTCCTGGCGCCAAAGCTCAATGCTGTACCGCGCACCGGTGGACCACCGGCGCTTGACGCAAGAACCAGTTTCGTTTTCATAACACCCGCCTGATTTTTCCTTGTTGCGAGCGCGCTATCGATTCACGGTTTCAGGAACTGGAGTTAGATATAAAATGTAAACGCAAGGAACTTTGAGTATGTTTTTGCAATTCGCATAGGATGGTAAAGATATGCTCCTTTCGTTTTATAGAATGATTGCAGAGTGCATTGTGCATCCTTTTTTGCGAGTTTTACTACTTTTACGATTTTTACTATTGGAGAGATTAACTGAATTTGAATCTTATCGAATTTCATATTGATATGAACGATCCAAGATATGCTATCGACATTGAACTTTTTTTTATCGATTCTTGGTATGAAAAGGAAAAAAGCATGATTATGACTCTTGAAAACTTTTTTAAACACTTTTACTTTAACGAGCGATGATTTTTTTTTATATCACTTTCCATTGTCGCTTTCATTTCTATTTGAATGAAACATTGAAATTGACAAATAATGAAAACGAATTATTAACAACTGTCCAAACATCTCATCGCATATTCATCGATTATTCGTGAATACTAGGTTACTTATTATCATCGAGAAGCGTTCTCTAAAACGTCATTTAACATTTGGTTCAAATACAATACCTAACAAGAGTCGTTAGATCGTGTTCACAAAAGCGTTTGATTCATCTCCTGACAAGTTTCTCCGTTAATTTACAACACACTCTTACGTAATCGGCGCTTCCTTCTTCTATTTTCCTCACATTCGTATAAGCTTCCACACCTCAGAGATCAATAAATCATAACGAAGCAAGCTCAAGGTTTAAATCATTTCCATCGTACATTTTTAATATCTCGACGGATTCAATCTGACTTCAAACATACCTCGGGTCGAGATAGTTAGGCTAGAGCGGTAAATACGAAATCGCGAAGGACAAAAATATTCTGATGAACAGGAACCCAGTGAATCCGTCAGTGGATCGCTGGTCTCCTTCATGGCCTCTTTTCTCCCCACCGCCCGTTCACCACGCTCGTCCATGGAAGTGTAGGTACGCGTGTGGAACAGGCGCCTCCGTGCCAGTAGTCGCGATATAAAACTCGTGAGACACGCTCGTGAACGAGGAATCGTGCTTGACTAGTCGTACAGGAACGTAGTTAACGCTGTCACGCGTACGATAAGAAAACTCGTGGCCGACTACGAAATCGCGTCGCGGTAATAGACAGAACCGGATTCGCTGGTGGCTTAACTTGAATCGTGCGTCGCGCGCTCGCTTCCATCGGTTTATCCACCGGGTGTAAAGGAAACAACGCGTGAAACACGAAGTTTCTGGAGGGCTGCATCGCGGGGTGCAACATCTAGGGGAGGAGCATGAAAACGTCGACGTTATCTTCGAGTGACATGATCAAACAGGAGGTGAGCCGAATGATTCACGAGGAGTAACGGGCTCGTGTAACGGAAGACGAGGCCGGTCCTCCTGTCGATCGTCGGGATTCTATTAACGTCTACTCGTTATTTCACGAGTTCGTTCGTATGACACGCGAGGGTGGTGGAAGAACGTCGGGGAGTACGCTTCGCCTCGTGTGGGTAGTTACGTACGCGGTTAGGGGTGGTTTAACGAACATAGAGTTTCCCACGAATGTGCGAAATCGTGAAGATGGCAACGTGCACTCGTCGCGCATAGGTGGCCAATGATTCGATCAGGAGACGGTGTCAGATTGTGTGAAGTACATAGAATGACGTACATAGGTGATCGTCGGGATTGTGGGTGATAAAAAAAGAATGCGACGTGCGTTCGATTGACCGATAAGGTAACAATTACGTGTCGAGATATTTGTCGAACTTATGTTAGAGACGTCTGGCTCGATGGGCAAGCACGGTGATCGGCTGTCGTACTCAGCACAGAAGCGATCTCGCCGATTATTATTGAACACCGCTACGGCGGCACACTGTGTGTCCCAGAAACGTGAGCGCGTATTGCTATCGATTGTGATGGTCGTGGACAACAGAAGGGAAAAGTAGCGCGGTCGATGTTACGCGCGAATGTCAACGTGCATGCCCGTATGATAAACGCACTTGGATTATCATTGCGAGTGCCACGTACTCTTCGTACAAGATAAGAAGCGGGTTGAATACTTTACAATCGAGACGGTTGCGTAAAACTCGTTAAATGACGATAAAAAATATAAAGGGGACTTCCCGAACCGGGTTTTTGTTTGTCACGGGCTAACAACACAAGGCAAATCCCTCGCAGTGGATCGACGATTTCCCGAATCGCTCGAAATTGACGGAGCGTACGAACGAGATTAAATTTAAATGCTTGGATTAAGGAAAAACGTGACTTACGAGCATAATGTAAAGATCGAATTGCTATCGACGAGGGATAATATTTTATGGCATTTAAGTGCAACGTGTTGCACCGGTGCACGTGTAACGGTGGATTCCCACTATCCGGCAATGGCCGGTCCAGTGCCGCGACCGGCTACTCAAAAACGAACGAAACCAGGGCTGTAGTCAGTAGGATAGAGTATAGAGAAAATCGTGTAAAAGGAGGCCTCAGGGGCCCCCGGTGGGACACGATTCCAAATTTGTATGCAGATCGCCTGCTGTTTGTGGTCGACCACTCGCTTCATGGTCAGAACTGGCACCTTTCGACCAAAATCCAGGGAAAGTCTGCCTAAACTAACAACCTACAAGAGACAGTAGGAAGGAATCAGAGGGTAGGCTTTTCCCTGGGTTTTGGCTGGGAGGTGTCGGTTTCGACCATGAAGCGTGGTTCGCGTTCGTGCTCGCGTTACGAGGTCGTCGTGCCTTAGAGAAATGTTTTCGTTGGCCGCTGCAGCCTTGACACTTTGACTATGTGGCTTAGGTACAGAAATAGTCGATTCGAATTGAGCACGAAGCGAGACGGAAAACAAAATACAGGCTCCCGCATGAACGATCTACCGTCGTGCACGTATTCTTTTCTTCATGTTAACGACGGCAAACAAATAACGGACACGGGTCCGTGAACGAGAGTCGATAAAATCCCGGCAAGGAGATTATTAATATCTTAGTTCCGACGAGGAAGCGGTCTCAGTGTCTCGCAGGGCATGTATTTGCATATGAAAATACTGCGCGGAAGGGGGAGCGTGTAAAAAGTAATCGGCGTTTTTACATTCCAGCATGTGCATTCGTACGGATACGAATCACTGTGCATTGGCCTTTGGACATACTTCCTGTAGCATGTACGTGATCCCCGTAACTCCGTACAGTACATGTACTATACCATTCATTCATAAAACAGTCCTATTGGCTGACCGGCGGGTGTGTCGGTGACGTCACCGCTAGATCAATGCCATTCTCACGTAAAGGGGAAGGGGATCTAGCAAGAATTTGGCGGGACTTTTAAATTCCCCGTCGTATTCAAATTCAGCCTCGTGACCGTGGACTTTTATGCACAGTCAAGCTTACGTAACCATCATTAAAGAGATACGAGCGAAACCAAGAGATTTCTTTCCTTATTTAAAGACATTTTGTTTATATAGCGATTCTCTTCCTATCACACATTTATATGTGCATAAATGATCTATTAATACGTAGGCACATCAATTATTTATGAAATTACAGCATTGAAAAGATTAGATATCTTCCGAGACTCGCAAATTCACAGTATTGTTCTACTGTAAACCGTGTCCTTGAAATTTTTTAAACGTCTGAGGCAATATTCTACTTCTAATTACATAATGATGATCATCGTCAATTGTTAATTGTACGGCACATAAATAACGTTAGAACAAAGTTCTAATTTTCGATTTTTCTTTAACTTCGAACAGCCTGTAATGTTATCTGGTTGACGATTCACCGTTTAACGGACGAGTACTTTATACCCAGTGTTAGGCGTAACTTATGCAACACAATCTTTAGTTCGTGTTACGTCATTACTTCTACCTAATCTCGTACGATCTTTTATACTATTATTAAAAATTCTTTTTAAGCGTAAAAGCTTCTTCGGTTAACCAAGTCGCTTGTTATATAAAAAAAGTTTCATCGAGCTATCAATTGATCTATCAAAATTATCGACACACCTATCTAAAAAGGAAT